TGGATGATGTGGATTCATCCCGGGGGGAGGGGGGGTATCTGGGAAGTGCTGCCCATTTGTGATAAAGTCACATTCTCCAATGTTAAATGTGATATCATATGATTCAACTCATGGATATTTGATTGCATTATCCTCTGACTCCTCAACGTAACGTTTTTTCCTATTCCTATAGACCTGAGAATTTACCCTGTCCCTCCAATTTTGATTTCCTCTTTGCATCTTTTCACTACTAACATTTCTAACATTGCTACCGTCAACCACAAAATCAGATTTTCCGTGTTTGAATCATCACTCACTTCTTTTCTTCAAGTCCTTTAATCTAATTTGTTGTTCAGCTGCTACTCCACATTCCATTGAATTATTCACAACATTAGAAGAGGAACTTACCAAATTATTCATGCCACAATTTCCAGAACGTTGATACTCTAATGAAGGGAAGTTCAAATCTATTGAATCATCCAAACCCTTGTAGCCATTTCCAGACTCCATGGAAGCCTTGTGATTAGATGACTCTGGTGATACATTCAGGTATTCAACATTAGGAGGTGGGAAGACATCATCGATGGATAAGTCGATCTCTGTTTCAACATCTTCAAGCATGACTTTGTCTTTTTGTCCAGCAGATTCCACATTGCTGTCATTATTGATTCCGTTGTCTGGAGGTGAAACTGGGACACCCGAAGAGTCATTTTCCAATGGTTTATCTGAATTCTCCATCAGTTCAGTAAAACTTTTTGCAACAAATTGAATTGAATTGTATATTCAAATGAGATGTTGTTATTCACAGAGAAGAGAGGGTTTTGTGTTGGGGCTGGTGGGGTTTAGATCTGTTATATAGTGGGATTGTTGGGTTTTAAAAGGTGCGAAAGAGTTGCGACTCTTATAAAAGTTGCGGCTTTTATGAAGAGTTGCAATTTTTATGAAAAATTGTGACGTTTATGAAGAGTTGTGACCTTTTCAAACAGTTGTAACTTTTCCAACGAGTTACAGATCTTGATATGTTTTACAGCCATTAGTTTCTGTTTATGTTATTAATTTCTATTTCTATTGTTGAATACATGTTTCTACCTTTGTTGTTTATTTTTGCAAAGGTACTGTTATTTATAAGTATTTATTAGTACAAATTAATGACAGAGGAGATATCTTAATCTCATGAACCAAACAACTTCTAAGAGCATCTTTGGAAAGTAATTAAATTGGAGTGTACTTGCTTAATTTCTAACATAAAAACCCAATCTCTTCTCTAGTTAGAGTAATAAAATCTTATTCACGTATATTTGGATCTATTTTCGGAAAGTTTTACTGATATGATGGTGAATTCACATCCGCCATTAGAAGACGACTCTTCCGGTGTCCCAATTCAACCATTGGACAACAAAATCAACCATGACGACCACGTGGAATCTGCTGTACACTAAGACGGAATCATGCTTGATAACCTCGTAATAGACATTGACTTAGGATACTTGTCTAAATATATTTCATTACGTAGAAAATGGTGATAAATGTCATGGATTCATTGTTTTATAAAATTATGATATTCACATCAAATGAGCTAATACTATCGTCTATCATTTACGTATTTACTCAACAAGTGAATTGTTCTGTTTTCAATCTTCAGATAAAACTATTTTTTCTGCTTTATAGCATTAGTGTGAAGGGAATATTTGGACCTTTTTAATTGTTTGGGATATATTTGAGTTAGAGGCAAGGTTTGGGAGACAAATGACGGATGTTCGAGGCAAGGTTCATGAGCCTGTTACGTACCAATGTTATCCTCAAATGGCTTTCTATTGTCTCCTCATGGACACTATACCAAATCATAGCGACTGTGCTCTTTGATACAGAGCAAGCAACAACAAACAAGAGAACAACTTCTTCGGTCACCTAATCTAAGAGAATTAAAAATGCAAGCTAAAACTCACCGGGAATGTTAGAAGTGTAAGTAAAATCTCCCACCTTTAATACATCGTCTGAATTAGTCATAGGATCCACAAAGTTGCACGCTGATTAACGTTAGGCGAGTTAAGCTGAAGAAACAATATTCAATCAATCTCTTCTAATTTGGGCAACATATGTTATCATCAATGTTTTTGAATAACATTTGAAACTACCATCGCAATTAAGTTGTTCGAAATATCAGTTGGTTATGATATCTACCAATGTGAATCTGCAATACGTGAACTGAAAGCTTCCGTTCAAAAGAGCCCAATGATAAACCCCACATCGAACCAAATGCCAAATCCGAGGGCCAGCAAAAACAATTTGAATTTCACAACTTGAAATATTAAACACTAAAATATACATTACTTGCAGTGCCATGGAAAAAGACAACGTTCATGAAAGGAGCAAATATAAACTTTGAATAAGCAATAAGCAAAGTCATGGAAATTTTGGATCTGCATAACCTTCTTCAAATATGAATCTAACATTGGATGGTACTCGCGTAAATTGTTTCAACCATCATCTTTGTATCCCGATGGATATAATGCGCCATATTCCAAACAAATATCTCCACTAGTACAGGTGCAGATGCCAATATAATCTTCATAAATTCCATTTCCATCTCAAAACCAGTAAAACCCAGCATCTCCACTCTCTGAAGCATCTTTATAACGCCACACGATATTGATTGAGCTTGTAACAATTGTATATCAGGTTCCACATCATCGCCTACTATTTCCTTGAAGATTTTTGCTAAACAGTTAGGCGGGTGCTGATGAAGACACCGTATTCAATCAGTTTAATGAGATAATACAAGAGTGATTTAGGGCAGCTTGTAATCAAATAAACAACGCTAGATAACTCCTTGACATTTCGTAAACACATGTCCAAAATACAGAGCGATTTGACATTGTTTAGAGCAGTCGGAGGACTCTCTGGTATGTGAGCAAGTACTATAAGCAAGTCAAAATTGGTTATGACATGTATTGTACATTATCACAAGTAGACTATAATTAATATTATCACACATTACCTCTAATGTTGAACCATATAGTTCGAGTTCCTGCAGGGAAGGCATGTAATGAAGAACTTTGTAACATTAGAACAAACAGGTAATACAACCTGAATCTTTCAAGCAATGGGCATTTGGAAATGGAGGTTTTAACCAAACTAAGTCATTATATAAAGTCATTCACCAAAATAATATGTTTTCTAAAATTTTACAAAACTAGTATAAACATATTCCACAGTATCGTTTTAGGATATATTTTATTTTTTAAAAGTTGATGGCGTCAGATTGATATACGTTACTCACAGTAACGTTTTAGGAGTAAAACGTTACTGAAAATAACGTTTTAAAAGTAAAACGTTATTTACAGTGACGTATATCAACCTAATGCTGTTAGTTTTTAAAAAATAAAATATACCCTAAAACGTTACCATGAAATACGTTTATACTAGTTTTGTAAAATTTTAGAAAAATATATTACTTTGACAAATTGTTTAGTATAATGACTTAGTTTGGTTAAAAATTATTGGAAATGAGATTCATAAATATTGCTAGATCGAAACTGACACTTTGAAAATCAAGTTAATAAGCTTCTCCAACCCTTTGAAAAATCAGGTGGAGGGTAGAACAAGCACGTATCAAGTTCGAGATGTCTTAATTGCAAGAATGTAAGGTAAATGATATTTGATGAATGTGCATATATGAAGGTTGAATTCCTCGACATTTTTTTTTTACAAGAACAGTATCCGGTGATCGCCACATCACGACCAATGGAGCGTAAACTTCAAAATTGGTCCTTTATGGAGTAGTAGGATTTGGTAAATGATTGACTTGGCTATTTGCTTGTCTTCGAAACACGCGAAAAACTCACTATTAAAATATTTTCTCCATTTATTATGTTGCGCTTATCGAAAGTCAATTTGATTAATTTGCAAAGGTAAATTAGATCACATTAATTCAATATTTTAAATAAAAAAATTTAATATTCTAAAATTATACGAAAAGTACTATAAATTACATTTTTTTGCATATTAATATGACAAATAAAATTCATCTTAAAATATTAGTCAAAATTTTTATAATTTAACTCTAATAATAGAAATTATGACAAAAAATACCGAATGATATTCATAAGCAAATTTTCTATTAAAAGTTAAACTATTTAACTCTTAAAAACTAAATGCATAACATTAATTAATTCAAAGGAAGAGTAATATATGAAAATAAACGGTGTTTGATGTGGCGTGGGAAAATGAAAGACAACAAACTTTTGTAGAAAGAGAAACTATTTTTCCATGCAAGATAGGGTCCCACTTTGAAATTTAGGGCTTCACTTTTAGAAAGAAAGGAACTTCCCTAATTAACGCATTTAATTTCTTTTATTATGTTAAACAATTATCAACATTCCATGTTCACACCAAGTTAGGTATGGATTTATTGTATAATAAATCATTAAATAAGATTAAAATATATGTTAACTAGTTATGATTTATCATAAAGCATATATGCAAAGAACAAATATCATAAGTTCATTGATTAAATGTATTAGGTTTATGATCAACACAATATTAACTTATGAATTATAAAATTATCAATGTTTGAATAAACAGTAGATCTGAATCATTGTTTAAAGATAAAATGAGTTCAATACTGATATTTATGTATAAAAATGTATTAGAAAATTGAAAGAAATACTAGATCTGAATCATAGTATAAAAGATATAGTGAACACAATATTAATAACCTAAAAGATTAAGTTAAATCCATAAAATTTAAATCATAAATACGCCTTCTACCATCAGGAGGTAGATCTTTATCGTTTATAGTTGATTTGTGATTAGGGATAATGGGAACAATTTAACAGTCTTTGTTTCATCAATTTTTCTTCTTCTTTACAAATTTGCAATTTTAACATAATGAATATTGCATCATTTGTTTCTTGCAAACAAGATCAACCACTTACTAGTTTTTGAGAGAATCTAACTATGGATTCCTTCATATATTCCTTATCTGATCAAAGGATAAGGCGGTGATAGTTATGGATGCAACGGGCATTAATAATCTAGATTATTCGTAGATCTAGTCAATCATTTTTCAGCAGAGATTGTGAATAGCAACAGAATACAAGTGTACAAAGGTCTGAATCTAGTTACACATATTTCTAGGTTCTGACTATATTAAGACCTCTGTATACCTGTATTTATCAATTATTCACAACGTCTACTGAAAAATAAATCGAGTAGATCTATGGGAAGATCTGTAGCTATAATTGAAACCCATATTTAGATCTCTCAAAAACAAAGAATAAGAGATTGATATTATTCTCAAGAAAATGATGATGCAAGATTCATTCAGTAAAAGTCTTCACAAAAATGTAAAGAAGAATAAGTGATGGAGAGAACAAAATATACCCTAAGTTCTTCAATGTAGAAATATGTTGATGGTTGGTGCTGTATAAATATTAGTTAAAAAAATAATTGGTGCGATGAACTTGGACACCTATACTCACTCCGTTTCATATTAATTGATTACTTTTTTATTTTATACAACATTTAAATATCATAAATAACAAAATAATTTTATCAATTCATTGCTTAAAAACTTATTTATAATTTTGCAAACAAGTATAAAATACTTTCAAAAAGAATTAATAGGAAAGGTATATGTAGAATAATTTAATTAATATTCTCTTGACTTTATAAGATGATCAGCTAATATGAAATAACTATTTTTTCGTATAATGATCAACTGATATGAGATGGACAAAATATTATGAACATAATTAAAAAAAACTAATTTGCAGTAAAACTTTTATGTAATTTACGGGTTCTCAATGACAATTAATTCATGCCATCGGTACTCCAGTTGTAGGTGACAAAATTAGAATTAAATCCCACTCTAACCTTTAACACATTGTATGGATGGTTGTTGTCGTTCTATTGTACGGTGTTGTCCGTTTAAATATCATTTATTTTAATTATTATTTAAATTTTATTAAATAGTGTCGATTAACTTATCAATAAAAGAATAACTAAAATTTCATTTTACGTAAGATTGATTTAGTGTAATTGTGTGTTATATTAATATTTTTTTCTTATTATTTAATTATTTTATTTTATTCTTTCTCTTACCTTTTTCATTTTATCATTTATTCATCTACTATTTAGCAAATCCGATTAAATATGAATATGTATCAAGAAGTTTAATATATTGAAATTAAAAATAATAATAATAAAAGCGATTTTATACCTAAATAAAGATCAAATGCTTATCACTCCACCTTAATCATCATCAATAAAATTGATTTATATGTTATTCAAGTCGATGAAAAAGATTTTAAAATTATAGTACTATTTATGTATCTTCATAAATTATATAAAAGTAGGTACTTAGTGATTAAGTAAACAAATAATCAAGTTTTCTATTGGAAAATAAAGGTCATTATTTAAATAGTCAATCAAAGTGCTAAAAATTATGTAATAAAGTCGTCTTTTCATCATTTCTTTTAAGCCAAAAAAAAAATCACGTATGATCAATACGCATATTTCACTTACTAACTAGATTTTGTTCAAGTGTCAACGACTAACAATAATATTATAGACAAAAACTACACATTTAAGATAATTATATTAATTAACTTCTTAAAAAATTTATTGGAATTTTTCAAAAAAATGTAAACACTTTAAAATAAATTAATAGCATCTAATGTAATTAATGTTTTGTTGATTCAGTAAGGTGATGAATTAATATGAGACAATCTTTTTAGTATAATGACCAACTAATATGAGAAGGATGTTATATACATGAATAAATTTTTTACCTAATTTACGGATTCCACCAAATTTTATTGAAATGTATCAATTAAATTCATTTTTCATTATATATACTTTTTTAATTTTACCTTTTTAATTGTATTTAATAAAATAATTTAAAATTAAATTAAATTTAAATTTATTTCAGAAAGTTTGATATATTAAAATAAAAATATTTTTTAATAAAAGCGATTTTATACCTAAAGGTCAAATGTTTGCCACTCCACTTAAATAATCATTGATAAAATTGATTTACATGTTATTGAAGTTGACGAATTTCTTTTTTTTAAATTACAGTATTATTTATTTGTCTTCACAAGTTATACAAAGTAGGTACTTAATGATTAAGCAAACAAGTTACCGAGTCTTCTATCTGAAAATTAAACTTTATTGTTCAAATGGTCAATTAATTAGTATTAGATTATTAAATTTATATACTAAAATCTTCTTTTCATCCTTTTTCTTCACGGAAAAAAATCACTTATGTATTATCATATTTTACTTACTAACCAGATTTGTTCAAGTTTTGACGACTAAACAATAATATAACATTTTATATTAGGTCACGGTAGAAAAAAACCAAAATAACCCCATGCTAAATTTTGATCCTTTTAATACAGCCAATAAACATATTATTAACCTTTAGGCTTTAGCTAATCTAATATAATCTTTATGTGTACATTTGCTACTTAAAAATGACTGAAGTTTAGTGCTTAACAAAATTGTCACAAAATAGAGAAGGATTATTCAAAATGAAACAAAATATCCTTCATTTAATTTTTGGCCCAACAGTACCTTTAGAACTATCAAAAATATAACAAAAATGCCCTTCGTGTTACCAAACTGATTCAATTTTATAGACAAATACTACACATTTAAGTTTATTAAAGATTAAAAATACATAATTGTATAAAACGGAGACCAAATATGGGAATAACATAATAATACATTGGCCATTACAAGTATGGTCACAGTTCAAACATACTTTGCCAAGCAGATATATACATACTGTATAATATTAGACAGACAAAACAGGGCATAACAGGCAAACCTAAGTGCTACAAAAATCAATATGTTAGCAAAATCATGCCACTTTCATGACTTCTTCATGTTTCATATCCACCTTCCATATCAATTTCTTCAAGTGCTACAAAAATCAATATGTTAGCATAATCATGCCACTTCCATGACTTCTTCATGTTCATATCCACCTTCCATATCGATTTCTTCAAATTTGAATTCAACATTAGCTGATGCTCTGCGAAATTCTTTCATCTCATCGATCATTTGTTTACACAAACGAAAAAGGAAACGTGTAAAATTCCAAATGGAGACCTCCTCAAGTACAGGTGCAGATGCCAATATAAACTTCATAAACTCCATTTCCATCTCAAGACCAGTAAACATGTTCACTTGGACTTTTTGAAGAAGCTTCATAGCACCATAAGAGGATGATTGGGGTCGTAGCAACTGTACAGCAGGTTCAACAATATCCCCAACAGGGTACTAAAGAATTTTTGACAAACGGTTAATTAGGCGAGTTCAAATAAATTAGAAACCATATTCAATCACCTTAATGAAAAAAAATAAGAAACTGCTTACAAATTCAATTGTAAGATCTTGTAATTTAGGACAGCTTGTAATCAAGTAAACTGCACTTGAAACCACCTCGGTGTATCTTAAAGACATGGACGAAATAGTGAGAGTTCTGATATTGTTCAGAGCAGTTGGGGGATTCTCTGGTAAACCTCCCTTGATCAAGTACTACAAGAAAGTCAAAAATTACTTTTAAGACACCAATTAGATTCAATCATTTAATTATGATAGTAATATCACAAATGTACATTACCTCTAATGTTGTACCGCATATATCCAGTTCCAGCAATGAAGGCATGTAATGGAAGAACTTCGGGAAATTAGAGCAAACAGGAGATATATCAGTCAAAAGTCGTCGTCCAAGGAAACCCACAGTAACTTTTTCAAGCATAGGAGCGTTTTTGAAGGAAATGGATTTCGTTTTCCCAATAAACTCAAGGAATTTGAGATTAGCAGCATCAATTTCAAGGATGTCAAAGTTTGTGATGGAACGCAACCTCAACCATTCAAGCAACGGGCTTTTAGATATGAGATTTGTTAATATTGATGAATCAAAAGTGACATGCATAAGATCGAGCTTAATAAGCTTCTCAAACCCTTTGAAACCGAGTGGAGGTTGGAACAAGCAATCTTGAAGTTCCAAATACCTTAGCTGCTGGAATTTAAAAAGATGATGAGGTGAATGATACTTGTTTCCTATGCGTACAATAAGGGTGAATTCCTGGACATTTTTCTTCGACAAGAAGTGCATCCAATGATCAATATCAGGACAACTCGTAAAATTGCGGAGTCTAAACTTCAATATTGGTCCTTTATGGACTAATAGGACTTGGTAAATAATTCTCTTGGCTTCTTCATCTTGTTTGAAAGACTTGTAAAACTCATCATTAAAATCAAGTTCTTGACGTGTTACCCATTTGTATTTCCAGTCTTTTGACAAGATACTGGTCTTCACTGCATCTTTCCAAGGCAAGCACCCAAGAATAACATCGAGAACATTACAAGGCAAATTGCTAATTGTATCTACACCAGAAGTCGAAGCATTCCTCATAGTCTAACAAAACAAGTTTGTCAGCAACTTTGAAAATTAAAATCAGGGTCAAAGGCGATATCCAAATGCATTTCAGTAATGTATTGAAAATATCTAGTGGCTCAACGTCTGCAACTGCATATATTTTATCATAGAGTGAAAATAACGATACATGATTGAGCACAGGAAAAAACATAGATTTGAAGACTAGTGGTGAAAGGCAAAATTTTCATTAAGGGATTCAGAAATGTTCTCTTGCATGCAGAGGATTCAACAAACATATAAAATAATATTTAACCTATGTACACAATACAATCTTTTGGCAAAACGGGTATTTAGTTGAACCCCTTCGATAAACAGGGCGCAAAAGATAGGATGACAGCGAACTAAAACACCAGTAGCCCATTAACTCCTACAAAGGTTTCATTAATCATTCCACCCATCTAATCTATTGAAAACTTATATATGAATTTTCTTCCTCACATTCAATATTTGAGCTTGAGGAAAAATCAATCGGTTTACTTTTTCTTTCCAATTGAACTCACAGTTCACCTTTAAGTAAATTTCATTTTGCTGAAATCGCATCCAAATTCGCAAATTCAACGAGATTCTCCTCACAGTTCACCTAAATCATAAAGGAGTGAGTCTATTATCCATCAAGTACTCGTGATTTCTCCGATTAAAAAAAGAACCGGAAATTAATTTTCTGGTGATATTACCACACCATTTCGGGTGGGTAGATCAATAAAGTGCGTTTAAAATCACGATATCTAAGATTCAAATTCCAGCAGCCACAAAACACAAAACATTTGTACAACCCATGGTACTGGTAAATTAGTCTGTACTGATTATCAATAAAAAAAAACCCAAACAAAACCTAGCTTGATAAGTTGATTATTCAACAAATAACTAAAATTTAAGAGCAAATAATCAAAGATGCTTACTTACCAGTAGTGATACTCTGAGAGAGAGATCGAACGCCGGAGGCAGTAAGATTTTACCCCAAATGCAGAATAGAGAGGTTGAAAATTATTTATATTTTCCACCTTTTTTTATTTGTATAAAATTGCTTCTAATGTTTGTAATTCAACAGATTTTGTTTTTGGTCTCAAAAGTATGGGTATATTTGTCATTTTAAGACTTAAGTCATATGCGGCCCCTTAAATAAGTTATCTCTCAATTAAGGTTTGTACCTATTAAACACTTTAATTATTTAAAATTGTGTCTATTGCGCACAAAATATTGACGTGGCTAAATAAGTGTATCTCACAGCTTAGTAATATATTCCTAATTTTTTTAAAATAAACTTTACTCTTTTTTTATCCTAATCAGCATTAATTAATACAACTCAAAATATTTTTTTATTTAGAAAGCAACCCACCCATCCTCACTCCGGTAGGCTGTACAAATTGTCATCTTCTTTACCCCATTTATGCACTCTATTTTTTTCTTTTATTTTTATTTTTCACTCTTCATAAATTGAATTTGTTAAAAGAATTTGCAACAAGAAACAAATGGGACATCAAAACGATAAGAACAATATTTGCTCTCTTTATTGATTTTGAAATAATTTATCAAAATAATTTATCTGTGTAGATTTTTTTTTCCATAAAGAATCTTAACAATCACTCCATTAATATATTATACTTCATAATTTATTTCACTATTTGCATTAAACTTGATTTCAAAAAAATTAATCTTTTCAAAGGAATAGAAAATGAGAAGTAATTGATGATGATAATGAAGAAGATAAGGCAAATGATTAGGTTGACGAACTTGGAGGAGGGGGTGGAGGAGATTTTCTTTTTTCTTCTTTTTGTTGTTGCCGGAGGAATCGAATTTGTTGTTGGAATCAGGATGGCTGGTGAAGGGAAGAAGAAGAAAGGTGAGTGGGTGGGTTTGTGTGGGAATGGGGTTTTCTTTTTTCTCCTTTTTGCTAATTAATTTTTAGGATTATTAATGATTGGAGTTTTTATTTTCATTTTTAAAAAAATAATCAAATTTTTATTAGATGGAGCCCATGTGCCACATACTGTAATTTTATTGGTTACTTTTTAAAAATAGTGTGCATGAGTTACACACACAATATTTTAAAAAGCTTATTATTATTTTGTATTTAATAGGTACATATTTGCTAATATTAGAGTGTCTAATAGGTAGTAATTTTAGTTGATGTGTTTAAGTGAATTGCGAGGACAACTTTAAGAAACCGCCGATGACTTAAACCGTCATTTTAAAGTTCTAAGCTTCTAAAGAAGTTCACGTGTTTTTTTCTTCAATTGCCATTACATTAGCTACGTGGCTTTATCTCTGTTGACTAAAGCCACCTCGTAGAGCTCCTTTTATTCTCTTATTTTTTCTAGTAAATTTTTTTTTGTTTCACACACTCTTTCTTAGCTATAGAAAAATCTTCTTATGTTTTATCCATTATGGTTTTATATACAAATTTGATAAATTTGATAAAGGATAAATAATGCTTGCACGAGCTAATTCTATTTAGTGTTAATTAGGTATTCGAGTTTATAGCTCATATAAAGCATAAAAAGAATATAAAATTTAACTGAATCAATTAAATTTAACTATACAAATTGATTCATATTTTTTTAATAAGATCGTGAATTTTATCTAAGTGTATAATCACCCGTATAATTGGTGGCCCTTTAATTTATAAAAAAAAATTAAATTTTTTTTTTAATAGAACCGAATATTCAAACATTTATGTAAACAAATTTTATTTGTTAACAACAATACAACACGTTAAAAATTTGCTTACATACAATATAACACGTTAAATTTAATGTATAAATATATTTTATAATATTTTTCAAATATAAATATAATCTTATGACAAAATTTATGACAAACGCTTCTATTAAATATTTAAGATCAAAGAATACAACACCAAAAAGGTTTAACGTTCTTAATTTTTTGATAAAAATTAAAATGCTTCTTCAAAAACATATTCTTTCAAATAAGAGTATATTTTAATATAATAACTTAAAAGATACAATCCCAAAAATTAATCCAATCGTATCGATATTGGAAAAAGATATAAATAGAGTGATTTAAAAAATTGATTTTGATTATATAGAAAATACCCTAAAAAAGATTGGGGCATATTTTGTCCTCACTATAAAGCATATTTTTTAAAAAAAAAAACTTGTTATAGCATTTTCTTACCGTCGAATAGAATTTATATATTACTGTATCTAAAATTAATCCAATCATATTGATATTGAAAAAAAAACAATATAAATGTAGTGGTTTAAAAAATTGATTTTGATTCTACAGTATAAAATACCCAAAAAAAAAAGATTGGGGCATATTTAGTCCTCACTATAAAGCGTATTTTTTTAAAAAAAATTAACTTATTATAGCATTTTCTTAAGTCAAATAGAATTTATATATTACTGTATTTAGATTAATATCAATTCAAGATACTAATTAACCAACCAATAAAATCAGTTATTTTAAAATTTTCTAGTATATAAATATCCTTCATTAATCTACATATACTAAACCTTATTTTTTTTTAATTTTAAATATACTTTAAAATAAATTCAAAGTTTAAATATGCCATCACAAAAAAAAAGTGTAATTGAACCTTTTTATTGTTGCTCAAATATGTGCCATAGAATGTTTTTCTTTCAAGCATATACATATTGAAATTACTCATTTATTCATTCCAGAAATAAAATAGAGATTAATTTTAGAAAAAATAACTTAAATACACAATTATAAATTTATTATATTCTAATTTTTCCATTTTTGTTTTTTAAATATTACATAATTCTTTTTTTTTAATTTTAATAGAAGTTTAGAGATACATAGCTTTCTCTCTTCTAAAATACACACTTTCCCAATATCATGCCTATTTTTCTCCACAAAAACACTCAATCTTCTGTATCACTTTTTGAATTTTGAATTATTACTTTTAATTAAACACGTTTCACAACATTTAATATGCAATTTTGAATTTCAAAATTCAAAAATTTGAAATTTCTGAAAATTGGAACTACCATTATTCTCTGGTTCTTCTTCTTCTTCTTACTCCATCATCCATCTCTGGTTCTTCTTCTTCTTCTTACTCCATCATCCGTTCTTCTTTTCTTCTTGTTCATCGTTCTATTACATCATATTAATGAATCCTTTTGCGAATAGGAGGATTTATGATTCGGACGATGAAAATTGAAAAAAATAGAAAAAAGTCTTTGCATGATCCTATGAATGTTCGAAAGAATTCAAACAAAGATATTGGGGAATCATCTAAATTAAAGGTTGGTAAAATACACCAAAAAAGGAGAAAAACATCCGCAACCATTATTGTAAGGCCGACATTGCTTCGGGTATGTCGCTTTTATACTTCTTTTAAAATTGTTTTTAAAATTATAGTACGTTTGAACATATCTTTATAATGTGTTATAGTGTTTATTTATTTTTATGATACATGAATTAATTGCGTGTCAGATGTCTTTTTATGTATCACGAGTATTTGAAATTGTTATCATGTATCATACAATAAGTTTAATATATATCGACTCAGTGTGTTATAGTGTTTAGTCGATGCATTGATACATGAATCAATTGCATGTCAGATGATTTTATATATATCATGAGTATTTGAAAATATTTATCATGTATCAGACAATAAGTTTAATACATATCGACTCAATGTGTTATAGTGTTTAGTGGATGCATTGATACATGAATTAGATGTGTGTCATATGTTTTTTATGCTATATGAATTTTTTTGAAAACTGATATCATGTATCAGTAAGGTATTAGTTGTTTATTTAGTATTAGTTGTTTTATTTAGTATTTATATTCAATATTGTTAAAATTTGTTTTTTTAAAAAAAATAAAAACTGCAGCCACTCAAGTACAAGATAAAAAAGATACCAACACATCCCATAAGGTTTGCTGTCAAATTTAACAACACTTTTCTGAAGGACTTTGAAAAATATATAGGGGCAAATGTAATCCAACTGTTTAGGGATACAATTTTTGGACCCTTTTTAAATATTACTAAATGTAATTTTCAGGGTCAAATCACTAGTGCTTGTTGTTGTTAGAGTTGGAACTAAGCAACCCTAATGTGTTGCATATTAGACATTCAAACGAGTGTATCCTAAAATTTGGTATAGATGAATTTGCAATATTAACTCGACTTAAAGTCAAAGGCAAAACCAATGATTTCCAATACCCAGAAACAACTAATTGTATGTTTTTCCAAAAAATATTTTCCTGGTGCAGTTAATAGTGTTACCAAGTATCAATTAGTTCAACGGTTCAAGATGGGTAACTGGGAGAAAGATCAGGATGCACTCCAAATTTCTATATTGTTCTTTATTTATACATTCGTATTGACGACTCTTGATAATACAGCTATATCCATTGTGAATTTTCTAATGGTTAAAGATGGTAGATATCAAGACTATCCTTGGGGTCAGCTATCATGCTCAAAACTCATCGGTTCACTTAGACATGATTTTGATGTTAGCAAAAAATTGTATCGATTATATGGGCTACCGTATGCACTTAACGTATGAATATACAAATGTGCATCCCAGTTAAATTCTGAAATTGTTGTGAAAGAACGAAATGTCATCCCAAGAACGTGCAATTGGAGAGTTGTGTCTGATAAGGCAAAGTTTGAAATGCTTATGTCTACCATTTTCCAAGAGGTAAAATTGAATCAATTTTCACTATTAGAATAAACTATTTTAAGTTTGTCTATTTAATATCGTTATTTATAACTTGTGATACATTGTGATCTGTCTTAATTATTTAATGTATTATATTGTATTAACATTTAAATTGTTTTATGTGTTATGATACATTCAGAATGCATGTTCAAACATTGTCCCAACAGCAGAGGAAATTGAAGCTTTTGACCTAGTTGAAGTTGAACATGCTCCTTCTTCTTCACCACCCTTAGTACAACCAAATGAGGAAGATGATTTTGATAATTTTTCCACCAAACCTCCTGAACAGTTATTGAGGAGATCTTCTAGAGTGTTTGATACATCTCATCCACCAACGTCAAAAAAAAGAAGAAAAAGTGGTTATACATAAAAAAAAAGTTTCAGAATCGAGTCAGCCTGATCAATCAAATGTGTCTCCGACATCGAATGATAATGTACATGTTTCTATTTAAGATCTGCCTCCCAATTTGACTGCTGATGATGTACATGGTTCTATTCCAGACGTGTCTACGAACCCAGCTGCTAATGTACATGGTTCTATTCCAGACGTGTCTCCGAACATGGCTGCTGATGTACATGGTTCTGCAGATTCTCAGAAAGTCAACTATGTAATTCCATATATTGAAGAGTTGATTGGACATTTGAAAACTTATATAAGTTAATTATTTTGATATTTTTAATCAAATGTAATTTATTATTATCCTAAATGTATTTATAATTTATAGGTTGACAAGAAATTTGAGTAACTGATTATATTGATAAAGGAAAAATCACTTCCAGTTGATGCAATCTCGAGGCAAGGAAAACATCAATGTTGAGACTAATACAAGCACATTTCAGTCTGAGAAAAAAATATCTCAGCAAATACGGATTGATCTTTCTGATATGGGTGGTGTAGCTGAGGATGGTGTTGGTGTTTCTGGTAACTATGTTGAACATCAAGTCATCGACGATGCGGAGGATGTCGCTGAGGATGGTGTTGTGAACAACAAGTCAATCATACTCCAAAGGTAATGTTTATGATACATTGTATATGATTTTTCAATTAGTTGATATCATGTATCATGCACATATACTCAATGTTATGTATCACGTGAGTATAATCACTGTTACGTGTCAGCACAAATTATATTAACAACTTTTATTTAAAAATTGCATATTCAGGATGGTGACGCACATCAATCGCACCAAGATTTAAATGAACATATCATGGAGCAAGTTGTTGATGACAATGTTCAACACAACATTCCTCACGTTTTGCTCGATAAAACAATAATGGATGCATCGATAGATTTTTTAAATTTTGCTTTATGACACACAATTTCATTACACACAAATTTATTTTAAAAATCATTACATCATATTATACAGGAATCTTCCACTTCAACAACAATATCGCCATCAACTCAAGCAGCAATAGATGCACTTATCAAAGATTTGGGGAAAGATCCTACTAATGCTAGACCATTATATTCTTACAATCCACAGAATATAACTAGCAACAGTACTTGTTGACCGACAGTCAATTAACCACTGACATTCCAATAGCTGAGATTGGAGTTAGAACCGATTCAGTCACTCCTGCGCATAGAAACAGAATGTCTTCGAGAAATATTCAATCTCCATATTGTAATTCTTTTGGGTCAAGCGAGAAGGGAAAAGAGAAATTGAAGGATACGGCTCGACTCCATTTCCTGTTCGAAGGATATGGCATTACAGATCAAGTTTCGCCGAAACTTATTGAGGATTATATGAATTGATTGTCAAGGGGGCTCCTAAAAAAATCATAACAATAAGTAAGTTTTATACATTATTTTTGCAAGTGTTTGAGGTAATTATTTTTTATATAACTAATTCATGATACTTTGTTTACAAAAATTGTAATTAAGTCACTGTTATGTATCATGTACATATACTCAAACTTATGTATCATATATGCAGGAACCCATCAGACGATAAATACAAATCAAAATCTTCTTCTTTTGAATTTACGATGATGGACTTTGTTGTTGTTTTTCCAAATAACAAGAATTGGTTCTATGCCATGTCACAACCAAATAAATGTTGGACTGATGAGGTAAAAATCTTAATCTAATTATCAAATGTATACCAGTCACACTTATATTATTATAACATGATACGTTCTGTAGAAGTATCATAATATTTAATTAGCAAAATTTATGATCAATATTTAATAATCATATTATTCTATATTGTTTAGAAATATATAATTTCTTATTATGTTTTCATTTTGTTTATAGCACATCGATGTGATTTTTTTACTATCTTCGTAAAAAAATTAAAACTTTGCAGCATGGATCAATAAAGATACACAACAACCCACTGCTTGTTCATGTCACATGTAAAAAATTGTTATGATAGGTATTACATGGACAATGATGATGATAGTCTTAATATACAAGAACATGTTGATCGCGCTTCAGTTGTATCTGTATATGAGAGGTCAATAATTAACATCATCAAAGGTTTTGAAATCCCTGATGCTTTACCATGGCATCTTGTAGATGAGGTCTACATTCCGATTAACTGCGATCAAGAATTCCATTGGGTGCTGGCAGTTGTTGAGTTGAAAAAGAGGGTGATAAGAGTTTTTGACTCATCAATATGCACAAGGAAAAAAGTCATTTCTCATGAGATAAAAATGTTGTCTAAAATGCTTCCTTTTTACTTACTGGACAGTGGATTCTTTGAAGAAACTGAGCACACAAAATTTGGTGATTGTCATGCATACAAAGACAACATTACTGGTTCACTTTTGGAGCCTCAAGTTGCTTTCATGATTGTAAAGTACACAATAACCTCAATAAGTGTGTTGTTTTTAATTAAATGCAGACAATACATTGGGTAAAGCACATGATACATGTGTACTACGTTACCCAAACACACATTTATTTTTTGAATTAAAAGTACATGAACATTGGCTAAAGCATATGTATCATGAGATATAAATTCAAGGATTATTGGGT